CAGCTTTTTGTTGGTTCAGTCCCTTATTTCCTCATTTTCATTGGTCTCCACTGAAGGGGAGCTTGTTTGAGTAAATGCTCTCTCACACGGCCTGGGTTCAGGAAGAGCATGAGGTGTAGAGTCGGACATCGGTCTGATGTTAGCCTTTCCTCCTCCTGTGTGGCCACGTCCCCAAGGATGTGGGCATGCTCCTTCTACCAGCTTGGCTGTAGAGCTAGCGGTGCCAGTAAAGAGCACTTGTCGTGGGTTCCAATGCCCCGTCTGTCAAAGGAGAACGCTGCCCCATGGGCTTTCCAGTGGCTGCTCCCTTGAAAGATGATTTCCAGGCCTGTCTTCTGATGGGTCTCCGGGTGGGCTCACATTGCCAGCCATTGAGTCGTCAAACACAGCTGAGTGCTAGTAGTTAGTGCTGAACTGCTGACCTCCCCCAGGAACTCTTGACCTTCAGCAGTCCTTCCAGTGTTTGATTGGAAGCATCCACAATGCAGCCACGCCCCCTCTAGCGGGCCAATGGGAAAGGACTAAAAAAACACAAACTTGCTGCCACCCAGTCAATTCCAGCTCAGAGCCACCTTGTAGGACAGGGCAGATTTATCCCTGTGGGTTCTGTGACCGTAAGGATTATATTGACCTGTGATTGGACTTGGACTTGATTCTTGGGTCAACCACTGCTGGCAAATCAAAGATTATATTAATTATCTTTAAGAAAAGGCACTAAACAAGTTCTACGAGACTTAACATGAATCCATTGAATTTTTAATGATAAAAAAGAAAACGATTTACTACTTGTTGTTCAGAGACCTGTCCATGGAAAGTACCCATCAGACCAGGCAGTAGAAATTTGTGTGACCTGTCTGGATTCATTCTGGCTTTGCTCTTACCTGCATGATCTTGGGCAAATGCCTGGATTTCCCCCCCTAATTTTTGGGTTCTTTATCACTAAAATGGGCTAATAGTAATACCTATCCTATCTCATTGTGTTGTTTTCAGAATAAGACGAGCAAATGCACACAAAATATTTTAGCACAATGGCCTGGCACATGCGAAATTAGAATCTAGCAAATGATAACTTATTTTTGCAGCAAGGCTGCTTCCAGTGTGGCTCGAGGTTGGGGTGGAGGGCGGCAGAGCGGTAGAAAAGAAACAGGGACTTCAGAGGGTGGGGGCGGGACAATCGAGAAGGATCAAGGGGCAGTGCTAGAATCTTGGCCGCCTGTACGGGACTTGCTGTTAGGAGCCATCCAGTTGCTTCCAACTCCCAGCGATCCTATGTACAACAGAAGCAAACACTTCCCACCTGCTGTCATGGTTGAAATCATGTGGTAGCCTCTCTCTCAGTCCATCTCGTCGAGGCCGGTCCTCTTTTTCGATGCCCTTCTATGTTACCAAGCATGATGTCTCTCTCTCGGGACCGCTTTCTCCTTATCACATGTTGAGGTATGTGAGACCAAATCTTGCCATCCTC